TGAGTATCAAGATGTTGACACTGTAGTCTTCGGAATTTGCTCCTTTGGTAATGATGTTAGTATTGTAGTTACTGCATGTACATTGTGGTCTGCATGTTGTATAGTATAGATTTAGTACATGTTAGATATTTGTACAACGAAAACATTAGACAAAATCAAAATATCAATGTGCCTACCTTCAAAGGAATGGTTCGCGTCCTCTGTACACTCCTAGAATGAATCAAAGTTCGTAAGAATTGGTCAAACGTGGACGAGATTTGAGGGGAATTGGCAAGCGCGAGTTTGCGCGCATGAGAGCTTTCTCAACTTTCGGGTGCCTTGGTCAAACGAGAACTAGAGTTTGCATCAGAGTTTTCTCGATACTCATACAAGCCCAGAGCAAACGAGAACAAAAGTTGCATGCCATGCATCCATGTATGTTGACAGGGCCATAGCAACCGGGGGGGGGGGCTGGGTGGGCTGCAGCCCCTCCCCCAATAATTTGCTAATAATCATTCTTTTTTCAAAATCATGCCGCAGACCTTTATCAGTCATTTAATAGATGAAAAACTGCAAAGGATGAAGATATTACCCAGACTCTCCTACAACTTATCCAATATATAGTTAATTTACGTAATTAAATACGCCTTCACCCATTTAGTAGTACTGAATTGTAAATTTCGACGTACTAAAACGCTGTTTTCTGACCATCAGAATTCTGTCAAATCTTCCCCAAGACTTCCCCCCAGGAAATGGCATTCCAGAGACTCTAAATTTAAAAATTTCCTCGGGCCTTCGGCCCTCGCTTTCAGCCCTCGCTTTCAGCCCCCCAATCGAAAAGAGCTTACTACGGCCCTGTGTTGATGGGAATTAACTACCACGCGTAGCGAAACCTCTCGCCAAAATTGGAACCAGCTCAAAGTTGATGAGAGATGAGAATTGGCTGTTATACGCGAGCTCATAGTTCTCATCTTCATTTGACCGCGGGGCTTAATAATGAACGAGTGTCTCTTATAATATTGTTTGTATTCTTTTTATAATTTATTTTTTTGGAATGCGTGACATTGTGCAATTGATAGTACCAAACAGGCGGCGACTATGACGGATTAATTTATTGATAAAAGAAGGAAGCCAAGATTGATTGAAGAGTTAAGCATTGCATTCTCATACCTTGTTCTGAACCCTTCTACATTTCGGTTGTAATTTCATATACGGCTGTTCTTCATCTTGTTTTCGTGCTTCCAGGAAAGTGTAGCCTGAGGCGTCACAAGAAATATTTGTCTGGAGATCCACGATACGATATGGTGCACTGTCTTCTTCCTCTACAGAAAATAGGGTATCAAATGAAAAGAAACTGACATAAAGAAAAGACAAAATATTTTCTAATAACAAAGGGCTGTTTTTAGAAAGCAACGTCACCACGTGCACTTACCATCTATCTCACCAAATTCTAGATTTTGTTCCTTTTCATCGAGTTTTTCATCAGCTTTTCTATAGCAAAAATTACAATATGAATGTCAGGACTAGAAAATATATTTCTCTTAATTCCTGGCAGCAAAATCCAAAGGTAAAAATTTCCTGTGGAAGTCAGATATAGATTTCTGAGAACGTATGGCACCGTACATTGTGATAAACGTCAATCTCGGCACAAGACAATCTAGACTTGCAAAATGCTTTGGGAATTTTTAAACAATAAGTAAATTATATGATATTCC